TTTTTTTCAAACTAAAATGAATAAGTATCCAAAAGTTTGTTGTCCAATGAACTTCCTTAGTTTCATCTGAAATTTTCGAATTTTCGCATTATTTGTAAATTTTTGTATTTGATTCCGACTCCAAAGTCAGAATGCTTAAAAAATTAAATCTGTAGCTATCGATAATAATCGATTGTGGCTTTCTGGACAATGACAAGAAGTATTGATTATTGATAATAATCTATGTTAACACAAAATCTGTAGTTATCGATAATAATCTATTTGAACTATGAGTCCAAGAACACAGTTTTTATATAACGGTAATAAGCGATTTGGATTGTCAAGGATAAGGACAAAAAATCTTTAGAATTCACAGTGCAAACCGATTATTATCAATAGCAAATTCAAATGAATGGAGTTATAAAAAAAAAATTGTACAAACTTTTAGTGTGGTGTGAGGTATACAATAATAATATATGTATGTATATAAAATGGTTATAGATCTGGGCAATGGATATCTGCGTATGCCTATACGAAGATCATTCATCAATCCGATCAACAATATATAATTATTTTATAGGCTGACTACGTCTTCTTTTTTTCTGCTCTAAGCTTAAGCATTGCACATTTTCAAGGGATATTACAAGTAGTAAGGCTATCTAGTCTAGTTATCTAGGTTTAATTGTAATTAATGGTTATGATTTACTAGAACTTGAGCTATACAACCTCAGTTATGTGTATAGAGTACTTTGATTGAGATTATAACTTTAAATCAACACAAAAAGGTGTTGCTCGATGTTTACTTAAAATATACATACATAAATATATTATATGATATATACTCTGGGAGGGGGTTGGGGTTGAGCGTCAGGCTTCTAATTTAAGCGAGCCGTGCTGCAATTGTCTTTTACCTCGTCACGTCTCCACGTCACGTTGCATTTAGCCAGGCAAAAAGATATCGCTGCACGAATTGCCCGCGCTGCATGCGCACGTCTAGATCTATGCCTAAGATTATTCTAGGTGTACATATATAAAAAATAAATACTTTATTGTTAATGAAGGAATGTAGTAGACAAAAAAAATCCCTTAAATTTTAACAGACTTCAGCTGAGATTCGACAGATCTGGAATTAGAGCTTAATAGCATCGTCCCCGTTGTACTTGTTGTTCTTGCGGCGACGGTTGGACTTGATTTTGCTAAGCACGTTGTAGGCTTGCTGGATTTCAATGAAGCGCTTATGGGCAGCTTCACGCTGTGATTCGTCCTTGACCTTGTCCGGATGGTTCTCCTTGGAAAGTTTGCGATAGGCAGCCGTTATGTCAGCCTGCGAGGCAGTGGCGCTCACGCCCAGCACCTTGTACGCCGTGCGCTCCCCATCCACGTCCATGCTCTCGAACACCTCGCGCCATGTCTCGTACCAGCCATGATGTTGTCCATAGGTGTAGGTGTCGTACAGGGCCTGCTTCAAGTCGGTCCACCAGGCGGAGGCTAGGAAGTTCTGCAACGCCTCGTAAATGGGCACTTCGCCACCGTCGTCGTCGGTAATGGAGCCATTGAAGAGCACCACGGAGCTCCATATGGCAACGTAAATGCAAACGGCAGTTCCCAGATAGAGCGTGCGCTCGCCCTTACTGCGCCTGCGCTCCGGAGTACGGCGCCACTGCTTCACGAAGCTATCAAAGACCAGAGCAGACAGTAGCGACGTCACCAGCAGCGAATAGGTCTCATCGTAGATGTAGAAGCGCGCCAAATAGCCAACGAAAGCGCCGACGAAGCACGGCCACCAAATGCCGCACTCACGCCCAATATTGCCAACGGTCCAGACGCCCAGTGACACGAACAAGGGTATGAACCAGTGCAGCCAACTTAAGTCCACGCCGCCAGTGATAGATTGCGGTATGGCCGAGCTGAACAACTGGCCAAACAGGTAGCCGAACATAATCTGACCCATAAAGCGCTTGGAGGAGTAGGGCGGGCGAGGATAGGCCTGCATCTTGGCAATGAACACTTTCAAAAACTGCGGATCCTCATTGGCGTCGCGCACATATTCGGGTATCAAAAATATCTCACTCAGCCAGCCGACGCCCAGGTAACCGCCAAGGGAGCACCACCAGAGGAACGCCTGACGATCGCGACGTAAGTACAAGTGATGTAAGCCAAAAATGCCGCCAACCAGCCAGAGCAGATAAGCAACGACAACGGACTTCTTCTCGGGCAGCATGTTTTGCTCGACATATTCCAGCTTGGTGTCTCCATTCGGCTTTGCTGGCGGTGGCACTGAGCCAGGGCCAGAGTCTTCGATCATTTCGTAGCCAGAGGCGGCTGCAGGCGAGCCGCGGAGCTTGCCAGAGGCAGATGCAGGCGAGCCACGGATCTTGCCATTGGCAATGTCATTGCCTTCATTGTTGTTGTTGTTGTGTAGAACGGTCTTCTTTAGTCCCATTTTCTGTAAGATTCTCGCCGTGATTATATATGGAATGAATGTTTTGAATATTGTGAAAGCAATGCACAACTCAATTCTTACCAGCTTGAACTCTCAGAGTTTCGCTTGATTCACTTGTTTTCGTTATTTAGTCAGCCAGAGAGCGAGTTCTCCCTGATGTCGCCCAGAAAGCAGTCAACAAGGCGAGTCAAGTCGAGAGCCAATTCAAACTTTCTCTTTTCACAAATTCTGTGCACGCAGCTGCAACAACAAAAACAACGGCGAGAGCAAGAGTGAGCAACGTAGCTGACAGAAACAGTTATAGCCAGCCGCACTGATGCGTTCAAATCGTATTAGTTCTTAACGCTTCGTTTTAACTTACATGGCTAATAACAAAAATGGCGAGCTCTTGCCCTAACTCTGTATTTTATCGTTTGTTGCTTCGTTTTTGTTTCGTTTTTCGCATGTGCCACTTTTGTCGGGCCACAGTTAAGTCTGTTGCGTTCTTTTCGGTAATTTCTTTTAAGCCAGATCTCTATTTCGATTTTGAGCGTGCGCCGATCTGGCAACCTTGCGACAAACAGTGCTGTTAAACAACAAAATGCTGCGAGTGCGCAACACTCGCACAAAATATGACTTTCAAATAACAAGAACTAAATTTGATATAAACAGTTTTGAGCTATATCACGCTGCAGATATATTGCGGATGAATAGCAAAATGAACCTAATATGTCTCTAAATAATTATTCAATGTTTCACTGCGGTTTCTCTTCGCAAAGGTATTTAACCTCTGGAAGTTCTTATTTCTTGTTCTACTTATTAAATTAAATATGTTTATAATTAAGAATTCTACGATTTCACACTTGGATATTGGATAACTCACCTTCCACTTTAAGGAGCGCACGTAAAAAATATAAGAACTCTTTCCAGCGACCAGCAGAACGAAATAATGAAAATATTTGACAGCACTTCGATAATTGTGTGAAACTTTCGATGTTTTACAATCGACTAAACAAAATGGAATGACAAATTTTTAGTCACGATCATTCGGTCACATTCACCTTTTTTCTCTTCCTCGCTTTAACTGTCAAAAAAGTTGGAAACGAAATTTGAAAAATTTTGTTGTTTATTCACTTGAATGCTTACACGTACAAAAAAAAGTAATTAGGTTTAGTTTGACACGATAATTGCTTTCGTTTATGTTGTAATAAGTCTACACATACAATTAGAACTTATAGATAACATGCAAAACTAGCATAGTTGACAGAATCTGAGAATAGTTTTGTATTTTCTTAGCAGCTTACAAGCAAATGGTTATGAGAAAAATGTAATACTTTCAATGTGCGGCTCTCGACCGTCGCTGGGTTAATAAATAAGTACATACATATGTAAAAAACCACATGAACAAAATAAAAAAAATGTAAAAAAAAAATCTAAAATGTTAAATTAGTAAAAGTTCCAATTTGATGGAACATATAGAATACAATTGATGGGAGCATTGGCGGCAATTAGTTGTTTTTCTTTTTGGGCTTCTTGGGGTTGCGTGAGCGCGACTTGGCCTTGCAGAGCGGACAAATGGGCGCGTTTCGATGAATCTGTTGGTGGCAAGACAAGCAGGACTTCATGGGGGGCGGCTGCTGCCTCAGGTTAACGTTGAAGTCAGAGCGAAAAGATGGATGATGTCCAATCCCGATCGACGGTGACTGCTGCAATCGATTTGTGGTCGGCGGCGGCGGCGGCGGTGCTGAAAAGTCGCTCTTGCCAAGACGAGCTGCAGCCACGGCCGCAGCTGCGGCAGCGCCAGCGCTGCCAGGTGCCCCAGGCGGAGCGGGTGGCATGAACGCGTGTCCTGGTCCACCACCACCGCTGCTGGGCACATTGGAGCCACCGCCTCCACCCGCACCGGCCGAATTCGGCGGCATTGCTGTCACGGTGGCCTCCGCCATCAGCGGATGCCGTGCATGGGGTCTCGCCAAAGATGTCGGCTGTGTGACGGCGGCCGCTGCGGCTGCTGCTGCTGCCACGGCCGCAGATTGTGCGGCGACTTTGAGAAAGTTTGTTTGAAAGCGATCCTTGGATATGGGGCTGCCCTCCTCTTCGTGTAGGTCTCGGAGAGGACTGAGACCCAGGTAGTCGCGTCGCATGTGGTCGATTTGATATTTGAGAGCGAGGTATTCTTCGTACACACGATTGGCCATATCGAAAGAGCGCGTTTGATTCTCCTTCGTCTGCTTAATAATGTTTTCCATGTCATTGATGTCAGCGTGTATCTGGCGGAGCTCCTCCACATGCGACATCTTTTCCTCAAGCAGATGCTCCATTTCCTTGCGATATTCGTCCAGGCATTTCTCCTCGTCATCGCTTAGCTTCACCTCCTTAATGATGCGCACCTTGAGCTTCTCCAGGGCCAACGTTTTGTCCCGTATATCCTTGATTGCCTCCAGCTTAGCGTAGTAGTGCCGCTCATTGGAGCTAGAAATCTCGCTGGTGGCCATTTTGAATGGCTGCTGTGATATTTATATCTGATGCACTGATTGCAATTTGTGATTTCGATTTGTCTGTAGCTCTCAATATAATCAGTGTACGCCTCGTAATAACAATTTAACTGTACGACGCAAAGGTTCGATTCTTAATTGAACTTTTATTATTTTTGTATGCTTTTTTCACTTTTGCTTTGTGTATTTCGCGCAGGGATGGGTACTTTTACCCAGGTCTTTTTTTAACACTATCGATATATCGCTTTTTTAAAGACGAAAAAACAATAGTATGCGATTAATCGATTAGGCTGTTAAGGAACATTGAACAGTAACTTCGGTATTTTTAAAATGAAATGTCTTTATATTATTACATGAGTATATTAGTTTAAATTTAAAATTTCTATAACATATTATACTATAATA